GTTCCAGAGTCTCCTTCCCTGACCCCTGGGACTTGCCCCTGGCCAGAATTTTCCTAACAGTCAAGGGGGCAGCTCTCCTGGCTTCACTCCCAATACACAGCAATTTAGGGCTCCTGCCCACAGGAGGCAGTCGGCCACGAGGCTGATGGAGGCAGGTGGGAGGCATTTGAGCTTGAGTCCAGAGAGGTCAGAGAAGAGGGCGTTTTTAAGGCCTGAGCAGCCCTGAGTCTCCCCTACCAATCCAGCCATTGTCTGGGTGGTTCTGACCTGGCCAGAAGATAAGGACCCACAAGGGGCTTCTTCAGTGCTCCCACGCTGCACCATGCCACGGGATCAGTGCTGCTGGCTGCTCGGAGGATCCCAGGTCCCGCATGGCCAGGGCTGTCTGGCTTAGCCTAGAGGCAGCTGAGGCAGGAGGAACGGCCATCTGGTGAGGCGAGGGACAGTGGTCAGAACATTGCTGAGCCGGCTAAAGCTTCCCCTGGCAGTGACAAGGGCTTCTGGGATCAATTAGCAGAACCACCCTAACAGGGCTCGCAGCCCCTGATGCAAGCTCCACAGGCACGTGTCATCGATCGGAGCCTCTGACAGCTTTGGGAGCCGGGAGGTGAAGCCAGAGGCCGCTGCTTGCTCTCGCTCTCAGCTCTCGCCTTTCTCTTTCTCGTGTGCCTGGGCCTCCAACCACTCCACATGGAGCCTGCCCCCTCCCGTCTGCCTCGCCGGTGCCAGACTTCCAGACCCTGCACGTTCATGGCCTCACCTCTCCCGGTACGGATGGAGCACCATATCTGTTTCAATTTTCACCTATATAAAATGGATCACGTGCTAGAGATCACTTTCTGGAAACTGGAAAATAAAATCATTCTTCCTCTTTCAGTAAGAACGGGCACTACTAAATCGCCAGCAAAGGAAAAAGTTCACTTATTCTTTTTTTTAAGATTTTATTTATTTATTTGACAGAGAGACACACAGCGAAAGAGGGAACACAAGCAGGGGGAGCGGGAGAGGGAGAAGCAGGCTTCCCACGGAGCAGGGAGCCTGATGCGGGGCTCGATCCCAGGACCCTGGGATCATGACCTGAGCCGAAGGCAGACGCTTAACAACTGAGCCACCCAGGTGCCCCAAGTTCACTTATTCTTTAAACAAATGGCTCTTGAGCCCCTCGTATGAGTCAAGCACAAGGAGAAACACACAGCATCTTCACCATGCTCAGGAAGTTCGGAGTCTGCTGGGGGAGATGGCTGTGTGTGAACCGATTCGACTCAAGGAGGTCGGAGCAGTGAGAAATGGATGAACTGCTTGGTGGGGGAGGAGGGTTGAAGGAAGGCCTCATAGAGGAAGTGGCATTTGAGCAGGAATTCCTCAGGCAAGGAATGGGGTGAAGGGCCTTGGGACAGAGAAAATGGGAGGAGCACGAGTTCAGAGGTGGTGAGCTTGGCATCTCGGTGAACTGCAGCTGTGGGTGGGAGCATGGATGGGGCTTGGGGTGCCTGGGCCAGTGGGAGCTGGTCAGAAACAAGGCTGATGGACTCCATGAGGACAGAAGCATCTGTCTCTTATCCCAGTCTCAGCACAGGCACTGGCACAAAGTTGGAGCTGGACGAGTGTTAAAACAGTGAAAGGGTTGTAAGACCCCTAAGTACAGGGCTGAGGAGTCAAGGTTCCACCCTGTGGACAGTGGAAGCCACTGTGAGGTTTTGCACAGGGTGTGAGGTAGGGGTCCAGCTTCATCCTTTCACATGGGAATGTCCATATCTCCCAGCACTAAAAAGCCTGCTTTTGCCCCTATTGCATTATCTTGGCCCCTTTGTTGAAATGAATAAATGTGAGGGACTACAGGGTTTTGAGAGGGGAGAGGCATGGTCAGCTCTGTGCTATTGAAAGATCAGTTTGGTGGCAGAGACTGGGAAGTGACAGAAGGAGAAGGGGTTGAAGGGAGACTAGATGGGTGGGCTGGACCCAGGAAGGAGGGGGAATTGGGGAGAACAGCTGTCCCCTGATCAGCCTGGGGCTCCTGTAGGGAGCTGTGCCCTGAACCGAGGCCATGAGCTCAGCCAGCCTGGGCCACCCAGGCCTGCTTGTGGCACTCACCAGGGAATCAGAATGGGGTGGGCAAAGGGGCACAGAGAAAAAACCTGTGCTCCTCAGGCCCTCAAGGTCCACAGAGTGGTAAACTTAAATCCTCTCCAGATACAGCCATTGGAAGGAGGTTTTCAGGTAACGAGAGGGTTGTAAATGCAAAACATTGCCAATTACAGCAGCATTATCCCGGATTAGAAAGTTTCCAAGAGGCGGCTCACACCTCTAGGCGTGTTGTGCCCGGAAATTTCCAGGGGAGGCTAGGGATCCAAATGTCTAGGCTGCCTAAAGCCAGGCCCCACAGTGTGTGCTGTCTGCTGGGTGGGCCCAGCTCCACCAACCTCTACAGACCTGCCTTCATTTCCCCGCCAAAGATAGACTGACTGTGGGGAAGAACGACCCCCGCCCCACCCCCTACAATTCTGAGCAATGTAAGGCTAACAGTGTCTCTTTGGCAGAAATTTGTCCCTTCAAGGACTTCCCCAGCCCTGGGGGCACTGAGTCTATCTAAGACACTTTGTGCAAACCCCTCCCCGCTTCATCTGACCCATGGAGTCCGAAAGACCACACACGGTGAAAGCAGCCCAGTGCTGCCCTTTCTGGGCTATACGACCTTCAGCCCCTCTCTCTCAATCATAGTTTCTGCTTTGGTAAGTTGGGGAGACAAGCCCCCCACCAACACTTTGCAGGGTGTTTTTCAGGATTAAATGAGAGAGTGCAGATAGAAGCCTTGAAGAATGGAAACAGTACACACTCCGTGCGTGACTACTTGGCAGTGTCTGCTAAAATAATAAATGTCCACACCCTGGGCCCCAGCGAGTCCTTTTCGTCATTTCCCACGGAGAAAGTTCTGCAAATTATGTCCAAGGATATTCCCTACAGCACCTTCTGTGAGGCTGGAAATTGTAAACAACCGAAAAGGCCATTTATAGGGCCCTGGTTAAATTAGGATCCATGGGTACTGTGAAATCCTTTGCTGTAATTAAGGAGTCTGGCAGCTTCTCTGCGCTGTCACCGGCAGATCCCCACCACGTGGGGCTGCATGAACAAAGCAAGCACAAACAACACCTACAGAATGATCCCATTTAAGCTTTCAGAACCCCGCACAAGCACTATAAATTGTCTATGTTCAGATAGATGCATATATGTATGTGGATGCAATGAAAACAGCCTGAAAAAAAAAAAAAAACCACACCCCGATGACCCAGGGGTCGCCCCGGGAGGGGCCTGGGATGGAGACTGCAACTGGCAGGAGCATCAGAGGGAATTTTACCGTCTGTGTAGCCCGCTTAGATAAACACACACAAAATGCCGAGAGCAGGGAGTAAGGGCCTGACTGGCTGGTGGTCAAGGCTCACAGGCCGAAATTAGGACCGCAGGTCGAGGAAGGAGCCTAGCAAGGAAGGGGGCCCAGCGCCTCCTGCTGGTGCCCCCGACTCGTGGAGTCTGAATCTGGGTGTGAGGACGCCCCTCAGGTGGGTAAGTGATGTCCCCTGGCCTTGTCAGCCTGGTTGGGCTGGGGCCACGGCCCACCTCTCCTGGGTGAGCGGTCTGCCAAGGAAACTATTGAGCTACATAAAAATCCATCCTGGAAATCCCAGAGGCATTCTTAGAATGAGTGCGCCTTTAAATTAGAATGTTAAAAAAAAAAAAAGGCAGATTTGCCCGTAGCTTGATTTCAGGCTCTTGAGGGCTGGTGGCCAAAACACAGTGGCTGTGCTGGGCCGTGGCCCCCAGGCCATGGTCCCACAGTACTCGCTGTGACGGGGAACCCCAGCCCCACCGAGGTTCTGTGTGGAACCGCACGTGTTCCCATGGAAACTCTGCTTCGCAGAATCCTCTGGAAATTGTTGCTGAGGAGGGGCCGCTGCTTCCCACACCTATTTTGTGTTCCTGGGTTTGGTTTCCAGGGATGATTTTTCTCAAGCAAGCACCGAGAGGAGCAGGGGCAGAGCGGGGGTGGGGCTGGAGGCTGAAGCCGGAGGGAAGGGGCAGCACGGGCCATTGCTGAGTGGCTGCCCCAGAGAGGCCTTCGGAGGTGGAGGGTGTCAGGAGTAGCTGAACCGTTTCAGACGCCTGAGGCTCTGCAGGGGGTGACCTGGGAGGGCAGGCAGGCTCTGCTGAGAGCCAGTAGGAAATCCCTATCTGAGCCAGGCAGGCCAGATTGAGACCCTGACAGGCCCGACTGCCCCTCTGAAGGGGTGCCTTGGGGCAGGGTCTGGGTGGGAAGAAGCGGTGCCTGGCGCCTGGCCCTCAGGGGTAGGGAGGCAAAGGGGGGGGGCTTCTGCCCACCCTAGGCCCGGGATCCACCCTCAGGATGCTGCCATCCACCCTTCGGGTCTGAGGCTCCCCTCACCCAGGTCTGACCTGTTCCCCCTCAGATCCCCCTCCCTGTGGGGGTGACAGAGCCTGGGACCCCATCCCCGGAGGGACACCTGCTCCTTGTTTAGCAGACCCCCCACCACACTATTCTGCGATGGCCTGTTTTTCCTGGAGGATGAGTGGAGAGGAAAATGCACACCCTCTGAGCCTCTGTAGGAGCAGAGTTCCCCATCTGTCCTCTCTGAGCCACACTGAGTGGTCTTGTCACTGCAGCCGAGGCTCAGGAGGTCATGGCTGCTGGGGGTGGAGCTGGGGTTCAAGAGAGGCCAGCAGCCACCCAGCCCCAAGGGGCTCCCAAGTACGGTTCTTCCCTCCTCCCCCCGTTCAGAGTCCAGAGTCCACACTAGCCTGCCCTCAAGGAGTTCAATGGGAAGCCCTCTCTGTCCCCTCCTCCTCCCTTACTACCACCTGCACCCCCTGCAGGAATCTGCCACCCCTTGCCCCTGCACCAGCCCATCGGGCTCTCAGTCCTGCAGGTGAAGGGACAGGTGCTGTCTTCCTTGCTCCACACTGGGAGTCCCAGGATATTCTTACCCCACCCTTCCACCTTGACCCTCCTCCTCCTCCCTGCCTCTCTGCCTGCTCCTTGGAGACCTCAGCACCCTCCCAGTCTTGCCCCCAACCAGACTTGGCCACTATGTTGGCAATGGCTGTGGGTACAGAAGGGGGACAGGTTGGTTCTGAAGGGCCTCACAGGCCATGGGGAGGAGCTAGGATTTTGTTCCCAGTGAGGTGGGAACTGTAGAGCACGAGGAGGGATGTGATCCCATGCAGGAGGTTTTTTTTTTTTAAGTTTTTTTTTTTTTTTTTTTTTTTAAGATTTTTATTTATTTCAGAGAGAGAGAGAGAGACCATGACCAGGGAGGAGGGGCAGAGGCAGAGGGAGAAGCAGGCTTCCCGCCGAGCAGGGAGCCTGATGTGGGACTCGATCCCCGGACCCTGGGATCATGACCTGAGCCGAAGGCAGATGCTTAGCTGGCTGAGCTACCCAGGCACCCACAGGTTGTTTTTTTTTAAGATTTATTTATTTATTTGAGAGAGAGAGCGAGGGCATGGGAGAAGGGCAGAGAGGGAGAGGGAGAGAGAAACTTTAGCAGACTCCATGCTGAGCGTACAACCCAATGGGGGGCTTGATCCCACAACCCTGAGATCAAAACCCTGAGATCATGACCCCGAGATCATGACCTGAGCCGAAACCAAGAGTCAGACGCTTAACCGCTTAACCGACTACGCCACCCAGGCGCCCTGATCCCATAAATGTTTTATCTGGATGCCCACAAACTGGTGGCCTGGTACTGCTCAGGGCCAGAGTCGGGGCCCCTCATTGTCCCTGGACATGTTTTGTGCGCAAGGGCCCCTCAAGGACCTCTGGGGCAGCCTGGGGGTGGGAGGGAGGATTTTACAAATGAGATAGTAGAAAGCAGCAGGGATGGGGGAGAGCAGGGGAGGGAAGGAGCAGAGCCCCACAGCCTGGGTGATTCCCCACCCTCAGCCCGTCTGCCTGTGAAATGGGTTCCAGCAGAGCTGCTGAGAGGGAGAAATGAGCACTTGAAGTGGCAGAAATGGCTCTGTTCAAGCCTCGAGGGGCCGCCGTCTGCCTAGGGCCTGAGCTCCAGCAACACCAAGGAGCCCACCGGTCGGAGGCGCCCCAGGCACCAAGCCCTGCAGCTAGACTGTGTGAGGGAGGAGGGGTCCTCAAAGCCCTGGGCCAGGCGCACAAGGCCCATCAAGAGAGGAGGGGGGTGGGGTCCAGGTAGGCCAGACTGGGGCTCTGGGGGACTGGGCCTCAGTGGGGGGAAGGAGGAGCAGCTGAGGCCTGGAGGACGGTGGCAGAGGTGACAAAGCAGTGAGTGCAGATGGCCAGGCTGATGGGAAACAACCTTGGGGTTCTTGTTGGGGGATGGAGAGCTTCAGGAGGTTCAGCCCGTTAGCTCAGCGTCTCCCCATTCCCTGCCCCAAACATGCCAGGTCTCCTCCCTTGCCGTCCCGTTTCCAGGCCCCCAGCCTGATGTCCTCCACTCAGACACCTCCCTGGCCCCTAGCTTCATCCTCGAGCCCAGCCCAGCCTCTGCACAGCTCCCGTCTCGCCCACAACCCCTGCCTACCCCTCCTAGCACCCTGCTCCACCTTGCGTGGCTGCCTTGTGCCTTCGACCCAGCCGGGCAGGGGCCATTTTTGTGATTGTTCCTTTCTGTGCTCACTCACTGCCGGGAACCTCCTGAGGAGCTCGTGCCTGGTCTTACAGTCTGTGGTACAGGCTGGTGCCGAGAGAGCCTGTGGATCTTGAGAGAGTGAGAAGGGCTTGGGGAGGGGTGGTGTCCGAGAGAGCCCATGGAGACTGGAGGATGGGCTGGCAGGCTGAGGGAAGAGCCTGGGCAAAAGCCAGATGCAAGATGCTCAGTGGGTGTGGCTAGGGCACAGAATGGGGGGTAAGGGGCAGACCCAAGGTCGGGAACACCTTGAATGTGGAGGCAAGGTGATGGGGCACCCCGGGGGCCTCGCTCCTGGTGTGGGGCCAGTCCTCTGGAGGGAGGGGCTGCCGTGGGGCCTTGGATCTATGGGCCAGTGGAGCTCATCCTAGAAGTTTTCATAGACCATGTTAAATTTGCTGTCATCTGTAAATCCGTGCAATTTCTCCTGGGAAAAGAAAGAAGGAAGGAACGAAGGAACGAAAGAAGGAAGGAAGAAAGAGAAAAACAATAGGAAGAGAACAAAGTTGCACTAATTTAGTTTTAGTCAGAGGCCAACAGACAGCTCCCTGCACGGCTTTGACAGGGAGGCCTGTCCTTGTCCCCAAGGCCACCCCGCCAACCTCTTCTCCCTCTATTCCACCCACCTTGCTCCCTACCCTCCAGCCCCTTGGGCCTCCCCACAAGCTCTTCCCTCTGTCTGGGAGGCTCCCCCACCCCCAACCTGCTCCCCAGCTACCTCCTACTCACCCTGCGGGGTTTGGCTCAGTGTCCCTGGGAGCCCCCTCCCCTAGCCCTAGTCGGTGCCTCTCTGCAGCACAGCCCTCACAGGGGGCTGCAAATGCCTCTGTCTGTTGGGTCAGCGCCTGTTCTTGCGGACCCGAGGCTCCCGGAGGGCAGGGCCACATCCAGCCATCCTGGCCAGCCCCACAGGACTTGGCACAGGGCGGACACTGCCTAGGACGGCCCAGACATCCTTGGGGGGCTCAGCATGGGGAAGCCCTGTTTCCAGTCAGGGCCAAGTTCAGGGCTGAGTATAGAAAGGGCTTTGAGAAGAGGAGAGTCCACAATGTCATCCTGGGTCCCCTGGGCTGGGGAAGGCCAAGTACCAGCCCCCTCACTTCCTGACGCCTCTTCCAAGGTGTCCGTGGACCCACCCACCAGCCGTGGGCTCCTGTACCAGCTTGCTAACCCCTTGCACTTGGTGCCCAAAGCTCTGGTGCAGACATTACTTAAGCCGGAACTCATGTGAATTCAGGGCAGCTGGTTTTGCAGGAAAGTGTCACTCATCCCCTTAACAGATGAGCAAACTGAGGTTCAAGAGGGAATCACAATCAGGTGATATGCCTTGGCCCCCATCTTGATGAGAACAGAGGCTGGACCGGGCCAGCCCAGACTCTAGCTTCCACCTCTAGCCAGTGTCAGCCTGGGGACAGCTAGAAGCCTCACAACACCCCCTGCCTGGTTGGCCGGTGTAGACACTGCTCACCCTGCAGAAGCGCCTACTGGTCCCAGGACATTTAACCTTCCTGGCAAATCTCTGAGCGGAGTGCAGTTACAGAGGGGACTCAGGCTCCGAGGGGAGCCCCTTGGCTGGGGTTGCACAGCTAGGAAGGGACAGAGCAGGGTTTCAGACTCTCCAGTCCTCCTAACCGCTGGGCCGCCTGTCTAGGGGAGAGGGCTCGGACTCAGCCGCAGATGGCTCACTCCTGTGGTCCTATTTACCCCCATTTTACAGACGAGGAGAAGGGGCGGATGGAGTCAGAGGAGGAGCCAGGCATGCTGCCTGCCGCCCGCCCCCCCCGCCCCCGCCCCCGCATACCTGGGAGAGGAGGCTCTGGGTGGTTGGCAGGCTGCTGGCCTCGTTCTGGATGCAGGAGTAGATTTCAGTGTCTCTGTGCTGTAGGGCCTGTGGGAGAGGGCGAGGGTCAGAGGAAGGTGGACCGAGGGGCAGGGACAGGGTCCCAGCAGCCAGGCCTCCCTGTTGATCACCCCTGCCTGCGGGAGCCCAGGGAACAGTCGGAGCCCTCTGGGCCGCAGCCTGTGAGGGGACGGCCACGTCGCCCCGCCACGTCACGTAGCACCACACCACACCTTGGCACCTGCCCTCCTCTCTCGCAGAGCCACCTTGCCCTGTCCCTGCTCGTTCAAGGCGACTCCCCTCTGCGCCCCCTGTCGCCTGCCTCATACCGTCTCGAGGCTCTACTAGAGTCCTGTGCTCAGCCTGGGTGGGCCCTCTCCGTCCTTCTACCTGGCAGCAAGAGGAAGAGCCCAGGCCCACTCCCACGGTCCCATTGTCCTTAGGCCCTCGGGAACCTGGCTGCCGCGTCCCCAGCCATGACACTGTGGCCATGGCTCCAGTAGGACGGCCTCCTGGCATCTGTCCTCACTCCCGGGTCCAAAGCTCCTGCCCCTGTGAGGGTCCTGGCCACCCATCCTCCCCTCTAGGACTCCTTCGACAGCCCCCCCCGGCCTGTGCCCGCAGATGACTTAGGCACCCACTGGGGTCACACACCTCTCCCATCAAGCTGTACCTGGTTTGCCTCTGGGCCACCAAACTGACAGTTTGCTTGGCACATTCAGACAATGGCCCCATACAAACTATGAGCTCCTTGCCCACCGGATTGCGTGTCTTGGGGCCACGCTCACTCTTGGCCCAGCTATGAGCAGCCTGATCAGAGGCCTCAGGAGGGTAGAAAGAACCAGGCTTTGAAATCAGACAAGACTAAGCTCAGCTCTCAGCTCTGACACCTGCCAGCCCAGGGCGGCCCCTGAACCTCTCTCCATCTCCCCATCTGTGAGATGGGAATAATCATATTTCTCTTGCAGTTTCGAAGCATGATTAAATGAGATATTGTATGTGAAGGGCCCAGCTCAGGGCTTGGTAAATAGTAGGCGTTTAATAACTGCTGAATGATCATCAGTTGAATGATCATCAAGGGGGAGCCTGATGCCTCCCTCCCCTCTCTGCGGTCACAGCCTGGACCCTCCTTCAGACTCTGTCGGGCACCCGGGTCCCGTGCGAGGAGCAAATGCCGTTCTTTGGAGTTGTCAGAGCAGAGCCACCAACAGCCTAAGCAAGAGGCAGGAACCTTCCCTTCCCGCGTGTACTTGTCATATGGATGCCGGCTGGTTGCCAAGGAGGTGGTTTCCCTGGCAACAGGCAAGCAGGGGTTGCTGAAGCAGGCTGGGGAGACAGGTGGTGCTCTGAGGCAAGGGGAGGGGGTGGGGAGGGGAGGAGGGAGGCGCCGAGAGGTAGTGGTGCATGAAAACCCGTGTAATAAACCATTGGCGCTTGGGAGACCCTCACTTCAAGGGCATCACACACAGAGACAGCTCGGCAGCCCTGCGGATCAGTTCAAGGGGCCCTGAGTCAGATAGAGGGTGGGTCTTGGGAGAGGGGCTTCTGACCTCCCTCCGGGTGGGGAAGGGAGCAGGACTGCCCTAAGGAGAAGCCCCATCTTCAGTAGAAGACAACGTCCAGGGCCTGTTCTGGCCTATCGGGTCTTCACGCCTGCCCAGCGTGCCAGCAAGCCGGGCACACAGAACAGACATCCCGTTGCTCAGCAGCCCTGCGCCCCCACTCCCTGCCCACCTGGGCCTGGAGACCTGTATAAGGCAGCCCCTCCAAACTGGACACGTCTGGTCACAGAGTGAAGGGAAGGGCCTTCTCTGACACCTCGGCAGGGAAGCAGATCTGGGGTCCCCCTTCTCCCTCATGTCCGGCTCACATGGGCTGCCTGTCGCACATTAGCCCAGAGAGGCTGGGAGATGTCTCAGGTCACACAGCCTCGTGGTGGTGGAGCCAGGATTGAGACTCGGGCCTCCTGCCCCAGCTCTGCGTGCTCCCACTGGGCTGGGCAGTGGCTAGGGGATCTCCGAGCTAGTGAGGAGCACCGGGCCCTGGGACCCCACGGGCCTCTGACCCACGCTGGTGGCTGGCCATGCCAAGGGTGGGAGCAGCTGTGGGGCTAAGGGCAGGGGAAGCTGCAGAGGCTGCAGCCCATTAGCAGCTGCGGAGTGAAGCCTTTGACAGGGTCTGACCTGCTGGGCTGCATTTGCATTCAGGGGGTGACCCGCATCACTGGGCTGTGACATGCCTGGCGGCCCTGTCAACGGGACACCCTCTGAGGCTCTGCACCGAACCTTCCTGGCCTTCCTTGGTGGTGATGGGAACTGCCTCCCTCAGGGTGTGCTTGTTGGGAGAAGACTGCCCTGGCCTCTGAATGGGCTGGGCTGTGCTGGGCTGTGCTGGGCTGTGCTGGGCTGTGCTGGGCTGGGCTGGGCTGGGCTGGGCTGGGCTGGGCTGGGCTATGGTCTGGGCTGGGCTGGGCTGAGCTGTGCTCTGGGCTGGGCTGGGCTAGGCTGAGCTGGGCTGGGCTGCACTGGGCTATGCTCTGGGCTGGGCTGGGCTGGGCTATGCTCTGGGCTGGGCTGGGCTGAGCTGGGCTGAGCTGGGCTGTGCTGGGCTGGGCTGGGCTATGCTCTGGGCTGGGCTGGGCTGGGCTGAGCTGGGCTGGGCTATGCTCTGGGCTGGGCTGGGCGAAGCTATGCTGGGCTGGGCTGGGTTGGGCTGTGCTGGGCTGGGCTGGGCTGTGCTGGGCTGTGTGGGCTGTGCTGGGCTGAGCTGGGCTGGGCTGGGCTGGGCTGGGTTGGGCTATGCTCTGGGCTGAGCTGGGCTGTGCTGGGCTGTGCTGGGCTGGGCTATGGTCTGGGCTGGGCTGGGCTGGGCTGAGCTGTGCTCTGGGCTGGGCTGGGCTAGGCTGAGCTGGGCTGGGCTGCACTGGGCTATGCTCTGGGCTGGGCTGGGCTGGGCTATGCTCTGGGCTGGGCTGGGCTGGGCTGAGCTGGGCTGAGCTGGGCTGTGCTGGGCTGGGCTGGGCTATGCTCTGGGCTGGGCTGGGCTGGGCTGAGCTGGGCTGGGCTATGCTCTGGGCTGGGCTGGGCAAAGCTATGCTGGGCTGGGCTGGGTTGGGCTGTGCTGGGCTGTGCTGGGCTGTGTGGGCTGTGCTGGGCTGTGCTGGGTTGTGCTGGGCTGGGCTGTGCTGGACTGTGCTGGGTTGTGCTGGGCTGAGCTAGGCTGGGCTGGGCTGGGCTGGGCTGGGCTGGGCTGGGCTGGGCTATGCTCTGGGCTGGGCTGGGCTGGGCTATGCTCTGGGCTGAGCTGGGCTGTGCTGGGCTGTGCTGGGCTATGCTCTGGGCTGTGCTGGGCTGGGCTGGGCTGGGCTGGGCTGGGCTGGGCTATGCTCTGGGCTGAGCTGGGCTGTGCTGGGCTGTGCTGGGCTATGCTCTGGGCTGTGCTGGGCTGGGCTGTGCTGGGCTGTGCTGGGCTGGGCTGTGCTAGGCTGTGCTGGGCTATCTCTGGGTTGGGCTATGCTCTGGGCTGGGCTGGGCTGGGCTATGCTCTGGGTTGGGCTATGCTCTGGGCTGGGCTGGGCTGGGCTGGGCTGGGCTATGCTCTGGGCTGGGCTGTGCTGGGCTGTGCTGGGTTGGGCTATGCTCTGGGCTGGGTTAGGGCTCTTTGTCTGGGACCCAGGACCTCCAAGTCCTTTGCCTCCTGCCACTCCGTGGGGAACAGCACTGACCCAAATGGCTGTCAGCCCTGGCAGAGGTGTGAAGTCAGTGGCGAAGCCTCCGTCTAACCCAGCTGAAGCCAAAGCTGCAGTCAGCTGCTGTGGGCCAAGACCTAATCCGAGGGTTCTAGACATTGGTCCCCCTGTAAGACCCACCCCCCTGCCGTGACCAAGGAAACACAAGAGCTCACTCTCGTGGGCACCCACACACAGAGACTTGTACAAGGCACCCCGGGGGCGGAGGGGTGCAATTTGGGGGTGCTGTTTGGAAAGGAGCGGCACTCAGCAGAGAAGAAGTAGGGTAGGGTCCTGGCATGTCTGAAGGGAGCCGCCCGTGGTGGGCACCGGAGTCTGGGAGGCAGGGCTGGGGTAGCCGTCCAATGAAGCCTGCTCGTCCCCTGGAGAGCCGGCAGCAGGGAGCCCCTGGAGGCTCCTCAGTGGGAAGCGACCACACTGGTGGTGTGTCAGTGAGGACCCCCCGCCGCAGTGAGCAGGAATGAGGGCAACAGGACAGCCAAGGCTGGAGCAGAGTTGAGGGGAGGCATCCAAGTGCCGCTGAGGGAGAGTGACCCCACAAAGCTGTGCCCCACGTGTGCCGTGGGGTGCCCCGGGGTGCCCACCCTGAGCCCAGCACGGAGCCCCACGGAAACCCAGGCATCTGGAAGGTAACAAGGGCCCTCCACATGTCCGTGCGGCCCTTGACTGCTGAGCACCTACCGTGTGAGACAAAGCACAATCACGAAAGTAAGAGGTGGCCATAAGGGCTATGGAAGGACACGAGAAGGAAGACTGGGAGGTTGGGGCCATGGAGGGGGTGCGAAGCTTGCAATTTTAGAGGGGAGCTCAGGAAAGACCTCCTTGTGAGGTGCTGTGGGAGCAGAGCGTGAGGCGTGAGGGAGCGGCCCATGGACGGTTGCAAACGGCAGAGGGCGCGGCCAACACCAAGGCCCCACGGCGACGGCGATGGCGACGGCATGCCTGCTGCTTGGGGAACAGCAAGGAAGCCAGCGAATGACAGGGGGAGATGGGGCTGGGGTGTGGGGAGCTCGGGAGGCTCTGTTGGGGCTCTGATGTTGACTCTGAGCGAGGCGGGGACCTTCAGAGGCCTGCAGCAGCTGTGAGAATGTGCCCCACGGAGCTCCAGCTCCAGGGACCAGGACTGAGCAGGGGTCCCAGCTGCTGGGCTCTGGAACCCATCCTCATGGGTGCCTGGAGGCCAGAAGCCCTGTGCACAGCGGGGATGCCAGCACAGCCTCCCACCCCGGGAGACAGAGACTCCTCTGCCGTGGGCACTCCTGGGCCTTGCTGAGCCTTCCCTAGACTGCGTGGCATCGAGGCTTCCTCGCTGCCGTCCTTCGCACTTCCCTCACTCAGGACCAGCTCTGCTTTGGTCTGACGGCTCACCCAGCCTTCCCCATTTTCCCTCCTAAGTGCTTTCCCTAAAGAGACAATTTCGGGCTCACCCCAGCTTGGTGGCTGCTTCTCGGAGGACCAGGACTCAGCAAGGGCTCTGAGTGAATGGAATCTGTGCTTGAGCAAAGTCACTCTGGCTGCTGCCCAAGGGCAAGAATAATAATAAGCCGGCTGGGGGACGCCTGGGTGGCTCAGTCGGTTAAGCATCCAACTCTTGGTTTTGGCTCACAACCCTGATCTCAGGGTTGTGAAATTGAACTCCTTATTGGGCTCCATGTTTAGCACAGAGTCTGCTAAAGTTGCCTCTCTCTCTCCCTCTGCCCCTCCCTGCACTCTCTCTCTCAAATAAATAAATAAATCTTAAAAAAAAAATAGGCCAGCTGATCAGAAACCAGTTACAGGACACCAGGCAGGAAATGGTGGTGGCTCCCACCAGCATTAGCACTGGAGGGGTGTGAAGGGGTGGGGAAGGATATGCTTTGAAACAAGATGTGCTGACAGTTAGGGATAAAGGGAAGGAAATGACAACTTCAAGTGCTCAGCCTGAGCAACTAGAAGGATGGAGCAGTCAGTCCCTGCAATGAGGACTATGAGTAGAGGCCCCTGGGTGGGTAAAGAATTGGAGCCTGGTCTGAGAGAGAAGGCAGTGACTCGAATGGAATGACTCTGGTGTTCAGAGGATGTGTCTGGCTAGAGACAAAAATGTGGGAGTTGTCAGAATGTAGATGTTCTCAAGCATTGAGGTAGAATGAGATTCTCCAGGGAGGGAATGAAGATCAAAAAGGAAGGGTCCCAGGACTGGACTCCGATGTTCCTAAGGAAGAACCAGTGGAAGGAAGCTAAGGAGGCCTAGTGGTGAATCGGGGGCGGGGGCATCAGGAGGGTGTGGAATGTTCTGGGAGCAAGTAAAGAAAGTGTGTCAAGGAGGAGAGAGAGCTTGATAGGGTCAGATGCTGCTGATTCATCAAAGAAGACGAGGGCCAGGAACTGACCGTTGGATTTAACAATGTGGAGGTCGATGGTGACCTTGAGAAAGAAGATTTTGATGAATACATGGGCAGAAAACCTGACTGAGTGGGTCAGAAAGGAGAGAGAAATACTGAAGACTGTTGTGACATTTCTGTTATGAGTCGTGGAGAAAGGGCAGGTCGCCAGAGAGGGATGTGGGCTCAAGAAATACAGGACGGAAGAAATTGTAGCATGTTTGCAAGTTGTAAATGCAATATCCTATTGTTAAGCCCTATTTTACAGATTATGGAACAAAGACTCAGGAAGTTTAAGTAACAGAACCTATGAGCAAAAGAACTAGGCTTTGAATCCCAGTCTGTCTGACCCACTCCAAATCCATGCCCTTTAATAGATCACTTTTAAAAAACAAATTGGATTGGCACAGCTTTTTTTTCATTTCACAATATGTCATGAGCATTTTCCCACATGAATAAAGAATAAAATTTGATATAATTAAAAGGAGAAATAAACAAATCTACAATCATTCGGACAGATTTAACTCACTTCTCTTAACATCTGATGGACAAAAAAAAAATCATAATGAGGTAATGAAATATTTTAAACAACATGATGAACAAACTTGACCTAATTGGTGGGTGCCTGGGTGGCTCAGCAGGTTAAGTGTCTGCCTTTGGCTCAGGTCATGATCTCAGGGTCCTGGGATCAAGCCCTGCATCAGCTCCCTGCTCAGCATAGTCTGCTTCTCCCTCTCCCTCTGACCTCTCTCCCCTGCTCGTGCTCTCTCTCTCTCAAATAAATAAAGTCTTAAAGAAAACAAAACTTGACCTAATTGACATACATAGAACACTTAGTCAGCCATGCACAATGCAGATTCTTTGCAAGTGCACACAGAACACAAGCTGGGCCACAAAGCAAGTTTCAAGACTTCAAAGGATTAAAATCATACTGAAATATTTTCGGATCACAGTGGAATTAGCAAGAAATAAGAAAGAACAACGACTAAAAAGTAATTAAACATTTGAAAATGAAGCAAAATACTTTTAAACAACCTATGGGGCAAGGAGGAATTCTCAACAGAAAGTTTAAACTGAAAGATAGTGAAAAGACGATATATCAAAACTTGTGGGATGCAGCTAAAGCTGTACTTAAATGGAAGTTCACAGCCTTTAATGCATAGATTCGAAAAGAAGACAGATTGAAAATCAATGATCTAAGTATCCATCCAAAGAAAGTAGAGGAGGAATGTACAAAAATCCTTTTCCGGAGGCTGGGAACAAGACAAGGATGCCCACTGTCTCCCTTCCTACTCACCATCCCACTGGAGGTCTGAGGCAGTGAGAGAAAGGAAGAAAAAGGAAATAAAAGTATGAGGACAGGAAAAGAAGAAATGAGACTTCCATTATTCATGCGTGTGACATGAATAGACTGAATTCATAGAAAATCCAAAGGGATTTGCAGAGACCTATTAGGATTAATGAATGAATTCAACAAAGTCACTGGATATAAAGTCAATATACGAAAACCAATCATATGTCTACATACCAGCAATAGACAATCAGAAAATAAAAGTGAACTGGGGACATCACCCGTAGCCTCAATCCCTAATACGAGGATCAGTGAGATAACAGGTGTAGACTCCTACTGCAGTGCCTACATCGTAGGCACTCGACAGAGGCTCCTGACGTCATTATCCCTGTCGTTAATGCCATTCTTATCTGCCTCCCTTCACGCCTCTTTTCTGTTCTGAAATCTCTTAAAGCCACCCTGCAACTCTGCAGGGCAGTTGAGCCTCTTCCCCACACTCCAGAGAAGTCTGCCTGAGCCTCAGAGAAGTCTAAACACAGGCGGGGAAGACGTCCCATGCAGGAAGGAGTGAGTCTCTTCCATTAAAAGTGCTCTCGTAGAAGGATATTTATTCGTGTAGAAAGATGTTCGTGAGATACTGTAACATGAACAAAAATAGCTGTACTACTCCAAAAAAAAAAAAAAAGTGCGCGTGAGTGCGTGTAGGGGTCTTTTTGTGTGTATTTACAGAAAAAAGACTGGAAGGTATAGAAGTCAATGTTACTAGTATTTATCCTGGAAGATAGGCTTAGGATGATGGTTATTTTCTTTATATATATGCATACATATATGTATATGTGTATATATAGTATATAGATCTATAGATCTATAGATATATCTATCTATATCATATATATTATATATATATGTGTGTGTAGGTGTATATATTTAGAGAGAGGGAGAGGGAGAGATCTCACGTGTGTGCATGTGTGTGTGTGTGGAGAGAGAGAACTGTTTTTATTCAACAGCTGACACCAGAATTCCTCACAGGGAAAATACCATGAGTTTCTGGGAGAGAAGAGAGAATATGGGGAAATCTGAGGCCACGTGGGAAGCAGTGGCTGGTGGAAATCCCCAGGGCGGAGGGGAAGGCTGTGGCGACATCCCCTTTGCCTCATCCCCATCAGTCCCTATCCTCAGTAAACAGGGTCGTATTCCGAATGCCCTCGGTGTGGACTCGAGTTTCGTGTGTGTCTGGGTGGTGGGGACAGGAACGGTGACAGCACGGACAGGCAGAACCCTCGTGCAGGGGCAGCCCTCGAACGCGCCCCCGGGGGACCCCGCGGGTCCCTGGCAAGGCTTCGCACCTGCCAGGCGTGGAGCCAAGATCCTAACCTGGTGGCTCTAGAGCTCGAAGAGTTAAGACCCCAGCTGACACCGGGTGGCATTTATTCTTCACTTTCTCTACAATGAGCATATGCTCCTTGCGGAACTAAAACACACAGAACTGAAAAAAGAATGTTCATCACCCTCGAAGCCGCTGGGCAGAGGGGCTGCATGCTGGCTGGTGGGCGGGCTCACACCCAGCGCACCAGGCTGAGCCTCCCCCAGGTAAACGCGGAGACAGGTGCAGAGGCAGGAAATGCTTATGACACGACATCCCGGGCCGGGCCATGTCTCCGCTTGAGTTTAAGGATAGAAAACAAGGTCTGAGTGTGGGGGGAGGGGGTGTGAAGAATTGAGAAACAGTGAGTTCGTTAGGGCTTCTGATGGTGCCTGACCTTTTCCTCTTTCTGTGATTCTTGTCGTTGATTCTTGTTCTGTGATTCTTGTGTAATCAAAACAGGAAGGGGTTGGTGAGCTGGTCAACATCATTCGGTCGGATGAAGGAACTTTCTTCATCCCTCGCTGCCCCTTGTTCCAGAAGTGGAGGGGTGAGCCGGGGACGGGGGGGCCCCGGGGGCACCTCACAACTACATGCCGGCCAGGGGCCAGGGGCCACACACATGTTCGTCTTCACAGAAATTCCACCACGTGGAAAATCTTGTCCCCAGTTTACAGACAAGGAACACGGCTGGTACCTGACCCAGCCAGGGAACCGGGCCTGCGCCAGACCTGAGACAGGCAGAGGGAGTGCAGGCCCCGAGACTCACCATGTAGACGGATTCGTCCGGAGGCTGCTGCTGGCTGTGGGCACTCAGGTCTGAGCCCGTCTGCGCGGGGTGCTTCTGAGGAGCCTGCATCCTTTTCTGTGAGGGAAGGAGTCTGTCAGGGCTGGGGATGGGCGGCTCCCACCCCACAGACCCCACCAGGGCAGAGAATGGCAGATTGCCAAGAGGCCCCTCAGCACCTCCTCCCCACCCTCCCCAAGGAAATGTGGCAAATGCCTCCGAGACCCACATCATGCCACTCATCTGCCCGCACAGACCGGAAATGGTAGAGACCGCCATGAGGCCTCGCCCACGGACGCAGTGCCTGGCTCAGGGACACAGTGCCAGGTGCCAGGGTGCCAGGGTCCCTGGCTACGGAGCTGACTGCTGGGGGTGGTCCTGAGCAAGTGCCAGCCAGGCCAGATGTCTGGTCCCCCTCTGCCCCTGCCCCTCTCTGGGCCTCAATTTCTTCAGCAAGGAACCCTCCTCCACGAGACTGTAGCAAGGATTCAGGGAGGTGACGAGGGGAGAAGTGCGTGGCCCTCAGGTGGCACAAGGTGGCCCTTGGCTGACTAACACACCCTTGTCGGCCACCTCTGGTTAGCCGGGTGGTGTGAAGAGGTGGATGCCGGCCCTGCCTTCCTGGGACTGAGGACCTAGTGGGGACACGGATGGCGAACTTTTAGTTTGACTAAAGCATGGTTCACGCACTGACTGACAGGGCAGAGCCCCTGGCACACTCTGGGGGACAAATGCCTCACCTGGCAGAAAGGGGTGTTTATTTTTTCTAAGATTTTATTTATTTATTTGAGAGAGAGAGAGGGAACATGAACAGTGGGGAGAGGGAGGAGAAGACCCCCGCTGAGCAGGGAGCCGGATGCGGGGCTCGATCCCAGGACCCTGAGATCATGACCTGAGCCGAAGGCAGACACTTAATGACTGAGCCACCCAGGTGCCCCAGAAAGGAGTGTTTAAAACCTAAAGGCTGAGGAACACCTTTGGCAAGAGAGGGAGGGGAGGCAGAGGGACCAGAGTGCCAAGACCTAAAGGTCTCGAGGAACTTAAAGACAGTCGACGTGGCCAGAGAGAGGGGGAAGCTTCCCGGGTGTGGGGCCGAGCTAACAGCGTGGCCGGTGGAAAGCATCTGAGCGGCTCGCGCGGGAGCGGCCAGGAGGGGCCAGCGTCACAAAACTCCCGCTGGCCACGGCGAGGCTCTGCTGGTGGCCGTGGAGGCGGGGGCGCTGGGCCCGTGGGGAGGCACCGGGCTCCGGGAGACGGGCAGCTCCTTCCGAGGCCGAGGGAGGCCTCCCGGTCCCCCCACCTCGTGCAGGCACCACACTACCAACCGTGCGGCAACGACAGCCTCGTCTCGGGGCAGGAGCTAATTCAAAATCCCGGCTGCCTGCCCGTCCCCAGCCCGTGTACTCGGGATTAGCTCGCAGGCAGAAGCCAGAACCACCCCAGTCGCAGCCTGATCGGGGCTCGGGAGAGGGGGCCTCCCCGGATGCCAGCCGGGGCTCGCTCTGAACGCACTACCTGCCCTATCTCACGTGCTTCTCGACAAGCCTGCGAGGCGAGTCTTCGTGTGGTCTCTGTTCCACACTTGGGGACCAGGAGGCTCAGAAAGCGCAGGAGACTTGCCTGAGGCCACAGAACCAGCTGTGGCAGAGGTAGGATTTGAACCCAGGTCTGTGTGATTCACCAAGATGCTGACCTGACCGTATCTGGAGTTTTCGCCCCTCTGTTTTGTACGAACGTGTGGGTCTCATGGACAGTTAGGTAAGTGCTGGCCTCGGTATAGCACTTCACAGTTTACAAAAACCCCTGAGACTCGCTCTTAGCGTCATTTAATTCTCTTTATAGCCTGAGGAGGTAGACTTCACAGAGGGGTGAACTGAGGCCTGTCCAGCTAGTCGGATGACTGCCTTTGGGTGGAACCCAGGTGTCCTTTTCCAAATCTAGTGTCCCTCCCCCTCACCACCTGCTTCCTGAGGCGTCTGTCACAGTCAGAGGCCACGGCTCACCTCAAGACAGCTGGGGGGCTGGTGCCTCTCCCTTTGCTGAGCCTGTCGGCCTGGACACTGTCAGGGCTGGTGGGTGTGAGCTCGTGGGCAGGGGCTCTTCTGGACCCTGTGGTGAGCAAGCCAGGCCCAGCCTCGTGGTGCTTCTTCTGACACTGGTGGGACTGCAGGGAGGTAAGTGCCACTGTGGGGTTGTGGGAAGGAGCCCCACGACTGCCAGGGGGCTGGGGCAGACTTCTGAGGGCCCGCCCTGTCTCCCGAAGATAGGAGAAGAGTCTGAGAAAGTGTCGCAGGCCACGGGAACAAGGCACGGGATCGCGTGGGGGCAGGAATATCACACGTCAGGGACATGCTAAAGGATGGACTGTCAGATAGAAAGAGGCCGATGGGAGTAAAAGGTGAGAGCAGATGAGCCGGGAGGCTGGCGAACGCACTGCCACAGAAGGCAGGGAGATGAGGCCTGGGCTGTGGCCCACGGGGGCTGCCCCCCTTGAAAAATCAGACGGGTGCATTTTGTTGCAGGGGTGAGGATGCTCCACCCCTTGGCGCCAGCCTTGCCCTCCCCGGGTGCCTTGTTCCCTGCCATCAACATTTGCCCTTCCAATTGTGATTTTCAAATGAATAAACCAATCAGTGTGGCCACCAGCAGCTCAGGAAAACTGTAGAGCCTCAATTTCCCCCTCTGTACAATGGGACCAATACTATCACCTTGCCCACCTCACAACCTGGCCACCTGGGACTCATCTTCCAAGTCTCAGCGCTCACTTAACTAAGCCATGCCTCCCGCAAGCATTTAGCATGCGTCAGTCTCCCACCGGCAAGGGGGGAGACTAAGCCCCTGCCCTCTGGGGCTTAAGTTATGGTGGGGGAAACAGTGACAAACACATAAGCACAGATGCGGGGAGCAGGGCTGGAGGGGACACAAATGGGAGCAGGAAGACCTGTATTTGGGTGAGGAGTGAGGGAAGCCCTGGGCTGGGGGATGAGGCAGGGTAGAAGGGGCTGGATCCTAGACAGGTTGTGTGCAGGGCTTGCTGTGGGGCAAGACGGAGGAGCCAAGCACAGCTCTAAGGCTTTTGGCCTGAGCATCTGGAGACATGGCACCATCTGCCTAGGCAGGGCAGACTTGGATGCTATGGAGTGGTGCCAGGGACAGTGAGTGCCAATGCCCGTGGGCCTCACATGGTGGACGTGATCTGGGGCTCAGGGAGGGGTCCGGGCAGCGTCAGGGGTGAGGACCATCACCCCAGGAGCAGAGCAATCACCGGGGAGTGTACAGAGTGGGGAGTGCTCTGAGGAAGGGGCCTGAGATTGCGATGAGCAGAGGCCGCGAAGATGCAGGTGATCAGCACAGGGCTGCCCAGGGGTCCAGGAAACAAGGGAAGAAGTGTGCAGGGGAAGAAGGTGACCTTAGGGGATGAGGATGGACCAGCCATCAAAGTCAGAGGCTGCCTGCTCTGGGAAGCCAACTTTGATCCATCCCCAAGCTGGGGGGGCGGGTGGGGAGCCCTCTGGCCTGCTCTCATGGCAGGAATCGTCTGTGTTTTCTGGGCCAGTAGCTCCCGGCTTCCATTCATTTATCCGCAGCTGCCTGGGCTCCTAGGGTCCTCCGTGGGTCTTCTCGTCTTGGCCCCCATGGCCTGGTCACTGGCTGGGGGCCCCCCTGCGTGCTCTGTTCCTGCACTCAGTTCACACCAAGCTGGCCTGCGAGGGAAGGGCCACAGGGGCCCGCCCAACTCTGGAGCGGCATCCACAGTGTCCGCATCCCAAATTTGGATCCAGTTCCAGGGAGCTCTGGGGACTTCTCTGGCCTCTGGCCTTCTGAGTTCTCTCTCCTTCAAGGCCAGGCTCCTGCCCCAGCCCTCCCTCCTCCACGTGCAGGGAGGGAAGACAGGAAGCGTCTATGCACTGCACTCCCACTGTGGGTCAGGCATCCAGCTGGTGCCTCCCAAATGCTGTCTCTTCCCTCCGCTTCCCAGGTGAGGGGTGAAATCCATCCTTAGCCCCATTTCTGGAGGAGGAGAGCAAGGCTCAGAGAGGGCTGTAGCTTGATGAGAGGGCAGGGGCTGCATCTGTCTTGCTTTCCACTGTGTCTGGAACTTAGCCCGGTGCCTGGCATGCACTAGAGACTCAGGAGCTATTCCTGGAAGGAGAGAGGCTAGGATTCGTTAAAGCCATGCAGCAGGGGCAGGGGCCGGGCTCGGAAGTCAGGCCGGGCTGAGTGTTATCCCCTCCTTTCCTCCTCCCCAGACTTTACTGAGCACCTACTCTGCGCCGGGTGCCTCCCTGACCTTGCGGGACCCCGAGATCCAGCCATTACAATCCTGTTTTTGCAGAGCAGCTGCTGAAGTGAAGGCTCAGGGCCAAGGTCTTGACCTGACCTGGTTCTGCCCCTCACCTGCTATGCTTCATACCCACGGGAGGCACCTGCGCCTTCACTCGTACAAGCCTGGGGTGGGGGTCCACAGCCCGAGTGTGGGTCCTTCACCACCTCTGCCTGACGCACAGTCTCCGTGTCCACACCCAAGTCCCACTAGATGCTCAGTAGTCGCTGAGTGACAAACAAGTCAAGAGCCGTCCTACCGGGGCACCTGGGTGGCTCAGTCGGTTAGGTGTCTGCCTTTGGCTCGGGTCATGATCTCAGGGTCCTGGGATCGAGCCCCATGTTGGGCTCCCTGCTCAGCGGGGAGTCTGTTTCTCCCTCTGTCTCTGCGGCTCCCCCTGCTTGTGCTCTCTCCCTCTCTCTCAAAAATAAATAAATAAAATCTTAAAAAAAAAAAAAAAAAAGAGCCGTCCTACCTGCTACCGTCACGGGAAGAGCACCAGAGGTGGGGGAAGAAATATATTGGGGATGAGAGCCAAGCTGGGCATACAGTAGGTGCTCAGCACATGTTGGTTGATGGAGGGAAAGTGGGCCTACTGGCGGGTGGGTCTCTGTCCTAAACCTGGGATTCACGGGAGGCCCAGTGGAGCGTTTCCCATCACCTTCTTGTCTTCACTGCTCAGTCATCCCCGTGACCAGGCCAGAGGCAGGGGGCCAAGGTCCCCCCGGGACCTCATAGCAGTGCCTGCTCCTTGGGCGGAGCAGAGTGGACTCCCTCTGTGGTTTCTCAGCAGAATGAGCCAAATTAGGAACCAGTCACTCCAGGGTCACACCCCACATCTGCGGCGTCCCAAGGTGGATCACAGGACAGAAGAGGAACTAGAGGGGTGGCTGAGGCCGTCACCAGGCTCCGGCTCACAGATGGCAGGAAAGGCAGCCTCCAGAGTTTTATGGCAAATCAAGTGGCCATGTTCACCTTCTTTTATCACCTTGGAGCCTTTTCTGGAAGAGTGATTATGTCTGCAGCCTGAGGCAAGGTGGGAAACTGAGGCCCGGGTCCAAGTCCCAGGCCTGCCATGTACTAGTCATGTGGCTCAGGCAAGTCCTTCCTCCCGCTGACCTTGGGCTGCCTCTCCCATTCTTCCATCCCACAAGGGGTCTGCCAGACACTCACCTCAGTGGGTCCTGAGCTGGAGGCGCCCAGGCTGAGTCGCTCCCTTGTAAGCAGGGGGCTCTAGCAGACTGTGTCACCTCCTCAGCAAATCTCACCAGCTCCACCTTCAGCCTCTAACTTGCCTTGCTCACCACTTCCCCAGAAGTGCTGTGCCTCGGTCACCTCTGCCCGGACTAATGCAGTAGCTCCTCACAGAGTCTCCCCCTGCTTCTCACAGGTGCCGGAGGGTCCATCGGGATCAATCTGATCCTGTCCCATGTCTCCCCACGCCCTGCAGGGCCTCCCAGCTCACTTAGAGTAAATCCAGTCAATGCTCCCTGAGCTCAGGCCACACCACCCACCTGGGGTCTCCCTGCAGTTCCTGCCTCAGAGCACCCACACCTGCTGTTCCCCTGCTGGACACACCCTTCCTAACGTCTGCCCGTCCCCCTTCCTTCCAGGTGCGGTGTGGGGAGGCCCTCCCTGACTCTATTAAAACCTGCAAGCTCCCTCATTCCCACACTCAGTACTCTCTTCGCTTTGCTGTATTTTCCCCCAACACTTATCACATCCGTTATGCTACTACTTATTTATATGTTTGTTTATGGTCTGTCTCCCCTCAGCTGGAATACAAATTTGACGAAGGCAGGGATTTCTTGGGGATCCATTTTAGTCATTGCTATAGCCCTGGGGCCTTAACAGGGCCTGGAATTCAGTAGGTGCTCAATATGGGTTGAATGAGTCAACACATGAAATCCCATCTCAGGGGGCCCTTCCCTGGGAGTGGATAGGGACCGGCCCTCTGGGTGCAGGGGCTGAGCCTCTCTTGACCCAAGGAACCCCCATGGTGGTGCAGAGCCCTCTTCCCACACTCAGGGCCTTTGCTGACTGAGCTGCTCCCCAGGCTTGGCCCCTATGGCTGCCAAGGAGCAGAGGAGCTCTTGGTCCCTAGATGGTGGGGAGCACTGGCCCGGGCTGTTCCGATTGAGGCTTTCAAGGAGCCAGGACAGGGGTCCAAATTGCAGCCTGGGGCCCTGACAGCCATCTTTGCCCCCCCCCCGAACTGGCAGAACCTGACACCCACTGGGTAATGCATTCTTCTGCCCAACAAACATCTACTGAGCACCCCCCATGCCTGGGCATGCACAGAGCACGGAAACAAGCTCACCTCAGCCTCTGTCTTCAGGGCACTTACTGCCTGGCAGGGGGGGCAGGCATCGAACCACCACCCACAGGGCTGGTGACAACGAGAGTGACAAGAGCCCAGTGGGGAAACAACCCTCCCTGTGTTGGTCCATTGCAGCCCGAGCAGGAGTCAGCCTGGTGCAGAGCTGGACCAAACTGCCCCATCCACCTGCACTCCAGCCCTGACTCTGTCGTGTGACCCTGGGCAAGTCACCACCTCTCTGGGCCTCGCTTTCCAGAGTTGTAAAATGGAAAGAAACGTCCCTTGCAGAGTTACAGTGGGACACAGAGGAGAGCATGGGGCAGGGTGCCTGGTAGACAGTGGCTCTTAGGAAACACTTCGTCCTCCCATCTGGGGTGCTGGGGATCCAGAAAACCAGGATGGTGCCTCCTAAAGATTTATTTATTTATTTATTTGAGAGAGAGAGAATGAGAGACAGAGAGCACGAGAGGGAGGAGGGTCAGAGGGAGAAGCAGACTCCCCGCCGAGCAGGGAGCCCAATGCGGGACTCGATCCCGGGACTCCAGGAGCATGACCTGAGCCGAAGGCAGTCGCTTAACCAACTGAGCCACCCAGGCACCCGGATGGTGCCTCCTAATCCAAAGAGCTAGAAATGGGGCTTGAGCCTTGCACCGAAATACTCAGGAGGACCCGTGGCCTGGAAAAGGCTGACGGGCCCTGGTTTCGTGCAAGATCCACAGGACCCGGTGGTGGCAAGCTAGCCTATAGGGGTGGATGAGGGAGGGGTCCCGGTGCAGGGAGGCCACGAGGAAGACCCCCTCACCGAGGCCGACTGGGACGCCGTGCAGGGCAGGCAGACGGCCCCTCCACTCCTTGGGAGGCACCCGAAGCCACAGTGAATGGGCTGGAGGGGCAGTGCTGCTGGGCGTGTGCATCCCCTACCTTCCTCCAGAGCAGCAGGGCTGTGACCAAGATGCTCAGCACAGTCAGGACGCCAGTGAAGCAAAAGAGCAGGAGCTGCTGGGAGCCCTGCGGGGGTCGTCGGTACCCCGTGTCTAGGAGGAGGGCAGGGAAGCGGAAGGGTTAGTCACCTGATTAAGGCTGGAGCGCACCCCACCCCGCCAACCCCCAGGCCCCCAATCCCTACGTTCTCCTTTACCCAGGACTCCACTTACAACACCCCCCCGAAGGAGTCCCCCAAACCCCCACCCCTGCCAAGGTGCTCATTCCCACACTGGCTTTTGGCTAAGCCCCTTTCTAGGTTGGCAGCCTTGATTCTTGTTAAGGGCAAGGAACACATCTTTTGCTTTTTAAGTGTCCCTGCCTCGGAATGAACTGGCCCCACTCAGAGCTGCCTGTGGGACCCCGGAGCTGCCTGTGGGACCCCGGGCGAGTCGCGTCATCTCTCAGGCCTTCTGTTTTCCGCATGTGGAAAGGTGGTCACGTGGGCAGGTGTGATGCGGGTGGGGGGATGGGTTTGGCCTGGGCCTAGCAGGAGGCTGGCCTGCACCAGGGGAAAGTGAAGGGCCCAGCCCGGCCCCCTTCCCTTGAGCCATCCATCCTTTTATCCCTCCCTCCCTCCCTTCTTCCCTCCCTCCCTCCCTCCGTCCATCCATCTGGCTGGCAAAAAACTGCCAAGTGCCAACCACGTGCCAGGCACATCCGTGTCTGTTATTTATCAAACATTTCCTATTACCAGACACCAGCCCTTGCACGCAGGATCTCATTCATCCCCATAAAAGCCCTTGACGGGCAGGGTATTGCCATGAAGCCCGGGCCCCTAGCCACATCCGGGCCAGCCCAGCTCCACAGCGTCCCCAAATCCCAGCCCCTACTGGTGGGAAACACAGAGGCAGGTCAGAGCCTCATGGCTTTGCCGATGATAACTTTTTACAGTCATCACTCCTTTGGGGATGTGATGAAACTAGGAACCTTTCCCAGAAACACATACATGAGCCAAGTGCTGCCCCTGACACACATGTGCGTGAGCCCAACCGTGCATGCACCCCCCCAACCCACACGCACACGCACACACACACGCACACATAAGGTGCCAGAGACTTCTCTCAGGCACCTGCCAGACGTGGCCAGAGACGTATCTGCATCCCAGGCTTCTGCCCTTCCCAAATCAAGGTAGATGTCAGCACACCTGTGCAGCCAGGGGCTCCCCGAGGACACTTGTGTTTTGCCAAATCTGATCGATGAGGCAGATATGCCCCGCTTTATTTATTCATTTCTAAAGATTTTATTTATTTATTTATTTGACAGAGAGAGAGAGCGAGAGAGGGAACACAAGCAGGGGGAGCTGGAGAGGGAGAAGCAGGCTTCCCACCGAGCAGGGAGCCCGATGCGGGGCTCGACCCCAGGACCCTGGGATCATGACCTGAGCCGAAGGCAGACGCTTAACGACTGAGCCACCCAGGTGCCACCCAGGTGCTCCTATTCCCCTCTTATATCCTGTGCCCCAAATTCTGCTGTGTGAAACCTCTGGGTCCTGCAGGAAGCCTCACCTCTGACCAGGATGAAGACGCCTTCGCTGATTTTCTGGACTTCCGGCCAGACCACGGAGCAATAGTAGGTACCAGTGGCCGATGCATTGGGCAGCCGGAGGGTGACCAAGCATCTCAGAGTGTGCGTCTGGTTCTCGTTGCCCAGGTCGGGTGGGCACTTGATCTGCTCACTGGGGCTCTGCTGGTTCTGGAGGTCCACAAAAAAGTACAAGGCTGTGAAGTTCTTGAGTCTGGGGCTGTCTGGGTCGGTGATTTGGCAGTCGAAGGAAATGGACTTGTTGGCCAGAGAGACCAAAATGGGGGCACCAGTGTGGGTCACCGAATGCTCTCCTGCAGGGGAAGAAAAAGGAACGAGTGGGAGCTTACCCTCCGGGTCTCTTCAGTCCCTTCTACCTTCTCCCGAGGACCTCGGCTCACACTCACACCTTTCATGCAGTCACCGTGGGCGGGCACTGTGCCAAGTGCTTTACACAGAGAACTCTCCATCTCCCAACACACCCAAGGCAAAGTGTGTAAGAGCTCCACTTCACAGAGAGAAGAGCCCGAGGGTCGGGCAGGTCAAGCTGCTAGCTTTCACTCTCTCAGCAGGGATAGAGTAGAGCTACAACCCTGCCCAAGGCGGGCAGACTCCAGACCCCACAGTCCTAACCACTCTCCTGCTCAAAGGCCAAGAAGCCACATTGGATAAAAGCCCCAGTTTGGGAAGACCCAAAGCTGCTGAAGGATGAGAAGTAAAGAGGAAGGAGGCAGGAGACAAGATAAAGAAACGCTTCCTGGCAGGAAGAAGAACTTCCCGGCAGTGGACACACAGAGAGGAGCCACGGCTCCCCCCAGCCTGAAGGAGGAGGCATGCCAGGCATCAGGAGAGACAAGCCTTGCCCTGAATCGGAGCTCGGAGAAGAATTTGTCAAGTTTTTGTAGACTGTAACGAGCAATGCCCCAAGAGCAGCTTTCCAACAGCACAGAGGTAGCCGTTGGGGCCACGACCAGGACGTTCGATGACCGTTACAAAGGCAGGTACCTGTGGGAGCCTCCTCCCTCCTGGACACCTGGACACCCCTCCTCATCACAGGCTCCTAGGAAAACAGTAGCACCTGCCCGGCTGGGCCTCCCACCCTCCGGCAGACTCCCGGAGGCACACAAGCCCCCTCAGCTTCAATATGCCTCGTCCCCCAGCACCTTCCTTCTCCAGCAGCCGAACTGTTCTAAATTGAGGTCGGCAGCAAGCAGCCAAGAACATGCTGGCCAGGCTGTTAATCAGGAGAAGATCACGCATTTGAGTTACTCCGAGGGAGCTGCCAGATTTATTTCGTTGGGGAAATAGAGGGCCCCCTGCCCGGGGCCTGGTGTGAAGCCAGGCTGGACTCGTCTCTGGGCTCTTCCTCTGAGCCCTGCACTGGGTCCCCAGGGGAGGTGAGGCCAGGGCCTCTGGAAGACTTGGGGACAGGACAGAGGTGGCCCTCTAAACCAGTCAGTCCCCTGAAGCTCCGGCCGCACTGGTATTTTGAGCTTCCTGTTGAGTAACTAAAGAGATCGCCCCTCCTCCAAAGAAGGAAAAGCAGTGTCATTTCCAGGCAATGGGCTGGATGTCCCAGCGGACCGGCTTCGTTGCCCTGCATGAATATGACGATGCTCACACCTGGAGGAGCCCCTGGGCTGGGACCCAGGGCTCTCCTCTGCTGAGTGGGGCGGGAAGGATTTCACAGGTCCTTGATGTCTCTGGGCGCGACTGCAGGGTGGTCGTTGTGGCTTAACTACAACACTATGTTCAAACTGTCCTAAAAACAAGGAGCACTGATTCAGGGTTGAAGCTTGCCTGGGACACGGCGGCCAGGGCAGGGGTGTGGCGGGTGGAGGAAGGGGTCATTGAGTGATCCCGGGTAAGGACAAGGGGCCAAGGGCTGAGATGGACTTGATTTGCCCTCCCCGGCAAGGCCACGCTGCAGTCCTTCCCCCCTCCCAAAGGGCCACTTCCTGTGCGCTGCATCCACCCCTGCAGGCCCCCCTGCCTGGGACTCCCACCTAGTCCTCCAGACTCAGCTCAGGACCCACTCTGACTTCGAGCCACATTCTCCTGTTTGGCACTCCAGGTGGCCAGTGCTCCCTGCTGGGGGTTGGGAGGTGGGAACCTGACCAAAACCACCAGGAAAGTGACCACACCGGGGCTGGCACTGAGGGCTCTCCTCCCCCCGCCCGGGGCCTCCTGCTTCTCTTCTTGGTGTGTCTAAGAGGCCTGGGGAGGCTGGGCGCACTGGCCATACTATAAGGCTGTTTGTCCTTCCTGTTTGTCCTGGCAGGAAGCCATCCATCCACAAAAAATTGTCTGCATTTGAGGTATCCTTCTAGAAAATGATGGAATGTGTTAGTGTGATTAAGCCAATCTTTACAATTTGGGGGAAATCTTTAAAAATAGAGGACTGTCGTTCCGTATGCTTCCAGGATTCATTATTTTAAGGTCAGAGGGTTAGGATCATGACCATGCATGGCCCCGGCTTGGGTCTGCCCTAGAGGAGAGCCTCAGACCTCGGGAGAAACCACAGTCTCCGTCCGAGTGAGGAGGGAGGCAGTCTCTGTCGATGGGGGAAGGACAGCCAGTCTGGGGACAGCAGGTGAAAAGCAAGGAGAAGGAGGCCTGCCATTGCCGAGAAGGAGACTGGTTCTGGCCCGATGGTGCATCCTATGGCCTCCACTGCCCCTTCTTTTTTGGGGGTGTTAGCGCCCCAGAGCTTGGACCACCGCAGCCTAGCTCCCACCCCCATCCTGGACCGTCCCTCCAAGACGCCCCCTCTGCGGTGCAGGCTGGTCCAGCTGGCTGCTAAGTAGCCCCCCATTAGGGTTCAGTGCTGCAGAGAGATTCATAGAAATTCCTGTGTCCACAAATTGCTTGTGGCTACCATTTGTTTACTCCCACGAACATTTAAGGAATACCAGTTAAGTCACAGGTCCCACCCCCGGCCTGGAGGGGCTCCCTGCCTGGCAACAGGGAAGCAGAGGGAGCCAGGGCTGGGAGGGCTGGTGGGAGGGAACCACTAAGCCTGTCTAGGGGTGTGGGGGAGCGACATGCTGGTGACCTGGAGGTCTGGAGGTCATCAGTGAACGGAAAGCAGGAACACACATGGACAGCAGGTTGGAAATAGCCCAAGGACAGAAGGGCAAGAAAAGATAAAGAAAGCATACTCTGGCTGGGCATGACACAGGCCCATGTCAACTGAACGCCACGACAATCCTTCGAGACAACATCTGCAGTCCCACTGTGCAGACAAGACCCGAGGGGGTCTTAGAGGCCCGAAGCCACAGAGTTCCTGAGTGGTGGAGCAGGATTTGAGCCCAGGCTCGTCGGTGCCAAGGATGTGACACCAGCCCCCCGGGCCGAGCCGCGGGGTCAGGGACACAGTCGAGCGTGGCCTGGCACAGGGCGGGGAGCGCCCACCATGGCACACAGCGCAGGAGACATCAGATGCTGAGGACAGGGGTCCGTCAGATTCCTGGCACAAGTCACAGCTTATCCCAGTTTTAGGCCCGGTGGCTGCATGACAGAGAGCAGGGGTGCAGAGAGGCTTGGAGAGGGCTGCAGGGGCACCTGGCCTGCCCTTCGGGCACCTGCTTCTCACCCCAGACCCAGAGTGGCTCCAGCGGGACCCTCCCAAAGCTTGTGGCGTGCCCCCTGAGTGCACGGGGATGGTGCAGTGGCTGGTGTCCATTGCACCTGGTGGTGGCTGTATCACCATTTGTCCCTTGTTCAGGTCAAGGCAGCAGGTCTCCTGTGGAACACGGTGGGCCGGGGCAGAGTGAGCCGGCCGGGGGATCCTCTTAGATTCTGCTCAAGGGCCGCCAAGAGGGGTCCACAGCCCAGGGAGGAGGACTCGGGGGAGGGGGGACTCGGATTCCTGGGGCTGAGGAGGGAGGGAGAGTCGGTTGGCACACCCCAGTGACCCACGGAAGTGCCCGAGGGGGTCCACTACAAACCCTACAAGTGCCCGGGGCACAGGGCCAGCTATCCACAGCCCCTGACCAGCAGGGCTCCTCTGCCCTCTTCCTGCTCTGTCCCTGTCCCTCTCCACGCAGCTGACGCATGGGGAAGGACCACCAGGGAGCCTGGGGGGAAGAAGGGAAGAGGGCCCTCACCCCTTATTGTCATACAGGTCCCAGACTCCGCCTCCAGCGTGCATCAAGTTCAGCCTTTTGGCTGTCACTCTGGTTGGCGATATGAAGAAGCAGGACTTGGTTTTGACTGTGAGTGACCATAGGGCAGAGGGGCCGGAAGAGCTCAGGCTGGCTTGGCTTTCCGTCCAGGTGCCGGGGGACGTGTCCCCGAGACCAAAGGCCTAAAGGGCCTCAGGAGCAACACAAAGTTGCTCTTCGGATAATTCTCCAGGAGGCGGGTGAGTCCTCGGCGCGGCCTAGGGCAGGACGGGCACAGGGTGGAAAGTGTCGCCAGGAGCCTGGTTTGTTTTCTGCAGGGAGATGGATTCATTCAATTCGCAGAGCTCCCTGCCTGAGAGGGAGAAGGGTCTGGAGGTGGCCATGTGCTGTGAGGGCAGAGATGGGGCAGGTCAAGGAGGGGATGAGAGTGAGGACGGCTGGACCTCCCACCTGCCCGAGTACACCACTCTTTCCAGTGCAGGTCGGAGGAGGGAAGAACTGTGAAGGGCAGTTCCAGGGGGAGGATGGGAGAAGTGTGAGCCAGAAGTGGGGCACCCCTGCCTGGAGGGTCAGGTCCGTGGAGGGAGGAGGGCGAGGAGCAGGGCCAGCCCGAGATGGGATTGGGAACAAGTTGTAGCACGGTGCCTGAAAGGACACTGTTCCCCGGGGCCCCCAGCCCAGCCCAGCCCTGCCCCAGAGCTTGGTTACTCATAAGGCATCCTCGAGCCCCCTGCCGCCCCCCCCGCCCCCCCGCCCGCCGCAAGCACAGAGAGTTCCACTGGACAGCACGGGCGACACCGCTTTGCAGGAGAGAGTGTTTTGAGGGATGGCGTGTCCTCCATCCCTCACTTCTCAGCAGCTCCAAGGACTGCTAAGAAGTCTGGGACCCTGCCAGGAATACGGGGTGTGGGGGGCTGCCTGGGAAAAACCTAGTTTCTTGAGGCATCAGGCCTGGGTTTGGACCCCGGTTCTGCCACCCAAAAGCTGTGCAAACTTGGGCAGGTGGCTTTCTTTCTCTGAAGCTTGGTGTCTCCCCTGAAAAAGAGGAGAGCAACAATGCCAACCTGACAGGGTGGTCATGGGATGAAATGGCGCCGGGAACGTTCTGAGGCAGCCACAGGGCCAGGCTGCCTTTCCCCAGGGACAAGAAAGAGGCAAGGAAGTCAGAGGAGTCCTGAGTCTTTGCT